AAGGGTAGAATGGGGGCTTGAATCCCTGTATTAGAACACAATAACACTTCATTGGAATACAGTTTGACTGTTAATCAGATCCCCCCCACTTATTACAGGCTATAAGTACAAGTAGCACTTTGCTATTTCCAAACCATTTATTTTCAAAATTAACGCAAGTTACATTGTAACACTGATATCTTTCAGGAATCCTGGAATAATCTCTCACATGTATATATTTTTTTAAACAAGACAACCTAAGGTATTGAACTTGGGGTAATTTGACTCTTTTCGTACAACCATTTTACCACCAATCTATGCCAAATTTAAAAAACAAGAATAATAATTGATTAATTTTTTTTGACACACATAGCAATTTAAGAATATATGTACGGAGAACCTTAAGGGTTACTGCCAAAGTACACCCCATATGTTTTCAGCAACATCTCCCATGTATAGGTGTCAGGTTCTCTGGGGGCTAAAAGACCTTATTTGGAGGGTGTGCATTCCAATTTTCCAACTTGGAATTTTCTCAGCTGGTCATCGTGCTCCTATGTCCAATTTGGGACATTTTTGAAGCCGGTCACTGTAATTTACCCCCAACAAACCATAATTTTTTTTTTTTTTTAAAGTAGACACCCTAGGGTATTTAAATGGTGGTATTTTAACACTTTCCATGCACTAATTCTACCACCAGTCTTTGTCAAACTTTTGGGTAGTAATTTTTTGTGTTTTTTCTCTCACATTGTATTTTAGACATGGATTCCCAGTTCCTGTAATGTTACTGACAAAGAACACCCCAATATGTGTTCAGCAGCATCTCCCGAGTACAACAGTGCCCTCAATGTACAGGTTTTAGGGGTTTTTGCAAACTTACAGGGGTCAAATGTAGGGCTTTCCCCTTTTTCATGTTTGCACATTGAAATGTGCCAGATTTGTTTGCTGGGCCTATGTTGCCTTTGAGATTGTATAGCAGCCCAGGAATGAAAATTAACCCCAGCATACCATTTGTAAAAGTAGACAACCCACGGTATTCAAAATGGGATATTTCCAGTCTTTTGTAGTAGCCACTTAGCCACAAACGCTGGCCAAAACTAGCATTCATATTTGTTTTTGTTTTTTTTGTTGTTTTTTTACACAAAAAACTGCGCTTTTACTGGTGATTTCATCGTCGTGATAAGTTTTACCTGACATAGATTTGAGGGATTCCCTGCTCTTGTGCATTCGTCTATGTTCGGGGAAGTTTCCCCGAACAAAGACATGTGCACCAGAGCAGGGAATCCCCACGACCTCTCGCGCTTACGCCTGGTCATAAGTGTGAGCCGTCGTAAAACAGGTAGGTCTCTAAATGAGAACCACCTGTATGTATCTTTTCTTTTTTTTACTTTTTAACAGCCTGGGGGACTGCCTGACAGTTTAGACAGTCCTCCTGCTGGCAGCTCTTAGAGTCCTATTGCGGGGATGTGATCATGGTGATTACATGGCCCCGGAGGGCTGGGGTGGCCAGAGCTACTGCTGGGGTCTCCGGCAGTCCCCTCTGACCATGATTGCCCCGGATCAGGGCTCCTATTTGCCGCGGACGTACTAGGTAATTCTGCAGTCCTTAACGACTGTTTTTTGTCAGACGTACCTAGTACATCCATGGGCGTAAGGGGGGATATATATATATATTTCTCATTCTAAATGTATTTTGATATAAATATATAAAATATCAAAATACAGTTACATAGCTAAAAAGAGACTTGCGTCCATCACGTTTAGCCTTCCACACATTTGTTTTTTTGCTGTTGATCCAAAAAAACTGTCTGAAGAACTTCCAATTTTGCAACAAGCTAGCAAAAAAAATCATTCTTGACACCAGAATGGCAGTCAGATTTATCCTTGGATCAAGCAGTTATTACCCTACATTGAAAGATTATATCATTGAATATTCTGTTTTTGCAAGTATGCATCTAGTAGCTGTTTGAACATCTATATGGACTCTGATAAAACCACTTCTTCAGGCATGGAAATTCCACTGCTTTATTGTTCTTACAGTAAAAAAAAAAAAAACCTTTCCTTTGCCTTAGACGAAATCGTCTTCCAGTCTAAACGCATGATCTTGTGTCCTATGTAAAGTCCGGTTTGTGAATAGATTTCCACACAATGGTTTGCATTGGCACCGAATATATTTGTATAATGTTATCATATCCCCTCTCATGCAAAGTTTTTCTAAACTAAATGGGTTTAAATTTGTTAACCTTTCTTCATAGCTGATATGTTCCATTCCTTTTATTAATTTTGTAACCCGCCTCTGCACTTTTTCTAGTGCCATAATATCCTTCTTAAGAACAGGTGCCCAAAATTGCACAGCATATTCAATGTGTGGTCTTACCAGTAATTTATAAAGAGGCAAAATTATATTCTCATCCCAAGAATGAATGCCCTTTTTCATGCATGACAATACCTTACTGGCCTTAGCCACTGCTGATTGACATTGCACATTGTTGCATAGTTTGTTGTCTATAACAATTCCCAAGTCCTTTTCGTGTGTTATCCCTAATTCGCTTCCATTAAGTTAATAACATATATTATCCTGTATCTACAAATACCTGGACAGGTCTTCCTCGATGGTTTGTTGGTGGGAGGTGGGGCGAGGGAAGAGAAGTGAAGTGCTAATTAAAGTCCCACCAGTGTAATTATTACACCTGGATATACCTTGCCTAAACTTTCACCTGCAGTACCAGAAAAGGGGACTTGTCATACATACGGGTAAATTAAGAGTTAAAAAAAGCCTTTTTTCTTAGTTAAAGAAGCTCTATAGGGTCAGGAACACAAACATGTATTCCTGACCCTATATGGTTAAAGCCACCATCTAGCCCCCCTGGTCTCCTCATGCCTCCCTAAATATAGTAAAATCTTACTGTATTCAAGTCTGCAGCTGCTTACTTTGTCCCTGTTTCCTTTAGACCTGCCTGCTGACATCAGCAGAGGTGGCAGCCTGATCAAACCCTTTCAGACGTTTCTAGATATCAACTAATTTGTAAGAAAAGCTACTTTAAAAATATTTTTTTAACAGTCATAATATTACTCCTATCCATACTCCTTCACCAAACCTAGAACTAACAGATACGCAAGCTGCCACTAATACTTCTCCATCTGTTATAAATACAAATCTAAAACCAAAATCTAAATTTTATTCTCCCAATTTTAAACAGGTCCCTTAGAAGTTTTAGAAAAACTTGTTTTAAAATATTTTAATAAAATTAAAAATCAAAAATTAGATAAACTTAATCTCAACTATAAAGAAAGACAGGCCCTTAAGGAATTACAATCAGATGTTATCCTTTTAAAAGAAATGTACATAGAGGAAGCTTTCAGACAATTAAACAATACAAATGTTTATGAAAAACTAACTAAAGACCCCAGCCCTCAGATAAAAAAAATATTCTAAACAATTATCTAACCAAAGGAAGTAATCTTAATCTTCTGAACAAACAAGAATACAATTCTCTAAATAAAATGTATCCCAAAATCCGAGTTATTTATTTTTTACCCAAAATACACAAAAAGGAATCTTGTCCTCCGGGTCATCCTATTGTTTCAGGAATTAACTCTATTGTATCTAATTTATCAGAATATATTGATATTTTACTCCAATCCTATGTAAAAAATATGCAATCTTATGTCTCTTCTGCTGTTTTTAAAGGATTTTCTCTGGCATCCAAATTATATTCTGGTGATTTGTGATGTCCAGTCCCTCTATACAATTATCCCCCATCAAAAGGGATGTGAAGCAGTCACCAGAATATTAAGTAAAGAAAATAACATCCCAAAATCTCAAATTGATTTTATCCAAGAAGGCGTCAAGATAATTTTAAATAATTTTTTTTTCTGCTTTTTAGATTCCTTTTAGTTCCAAAAAAGAGGCACAGCGATGGGGACTAGGTTTGCCCCCAGCTATGCTAACCTTTTTATGGCTGATTGGGAGACAGAAGCCATGTGGGTAGACCATAGCTTGTGGACAAACCTGGTCTCATATTTCCACTATATAGATGATCTATTTTTTTTATTTGGAATGGGTCTGAAAGTTCTCTTAACTAATTTTTTAAACATCTTAATGATAAAGGTATTGTTTTAACTACTTTTTTTAAAAAGGTTTGTACAAAAACTGTCATTGACCAAAAGAGCTGCCACTATACCCCCTGGCTTGAGAGTGCCCCAAAGAGTCAGTTATTAAGATTGAAAAGAAACTGTTCAAAACCAAAAGATTTTGACAAACAAACTTGTTTTAAAGAATACATTTTTAGATAAAAATTATTCAGAAGATAAATTAAGTGCTCTTATAAAAAAAAGTAAAATTGAATGATAGGGACAGCCTCCTAACTTATAAAGACAAAAGTAAAAACAAAAAGACCACACTATATATTCCGATTTATATTTGATTATAACAATAAGAACAAAGTTATTTTTAAAAAAATCCAAAAACATTGGCACGTTTTACAACAAAGAAAAACAAGTTACCTGCACTCTCTCCTTAATCCCTATGTATTTTTAAACAAATTGAGGTTTTTTTTTTTTGTAGTTACCTCCAATGGCCATGAGAGGATAAGCCCATCTGCCAATGTCAAGGCAGACCCCCCCCAGGTGGGACTTAACTCTAACCATTCACCTTGCTTCCTTGAGCTTCTGGCAAAGATCTCCAATGAGACCGAAAGGGGTATTCTTTATATACACTCCTATATATTATTAACCCTTAATAGGGAACACATGGGATGGGCGGCTGCATTGTAACAAGGCTGAGTGATACAAAAAATGGATACAAATGCAGAAAGATAAGTCCTGCACTCACTCCCATCACTGGGCGGCAGCAAAGACTACAGTACACATCAGCCCCAATATATAGTAAAAACCAAAGAAAAACAAGTTACCTACGCTCTCTCCTTAATCCCTAGGTTTATCCTCTCATGGCCATTGAAGGTAACTAAAAAACCTCCATTTGTTTAAAAATACATAGGGATTCCGACCACCTAGAGCAGAAAATGGAGGAACTGTGCTCAGCTCACAACGCGGCGGCTGACAAACTCCAAGCCCTAGAAGCTGATAATGTGAAGCTGTGGCAGAAAATGGCAGACACAGAAGATAGGTCAAGAAGGAACAACGTGAGATTCCGAGGAATAGCAGAATCTATCCTGCCGGATAAACTCTATAGCTACATCACCACCATGTGTACTGTGCTGGCCCCTACAGTGAGTGCTAACGCTTGGGAGATCGATCGAGTGCATCGACTACCGAAACCACCACGTCTCGCTCGGGACACCCCACGAGATGTTATTGCCCGCTTTCATTATTTTAAATCTAAAGATACCCTCCTCCAGGCGGCAAGGGCAACAAATAACCTACCGGCACCATATGAAGGTATACAACTATACGCTGATCTATCGGCCCTGACGATGGCCCGACGCAGAGACTTCTCCACAATCACGAAAACGCTGCGCAATCATAAGTTGAACTACAGGTGGGGATTCCCCACGAAATTATTGGTATGGCGCAATGGCAAATTATACGTGCTAGCCGACCCGGACCAAGGCCTCACCGTCCTGAAGGACTGGGGCCTATGGGACCCCCAAGGCTCAGCCAACCCTCCAGGGTCTCCCCCCCCGCGTTTGCGACCAGAATGGAAGATGGTGGGACACCAGGACGCCAAGCCGACGCAGGGCACCAGCTCGTAAGGACTACTCTCCAGGGACTTACTCTACAGTGTGAAACTTGAACTTTCGTATACTGACTTTACAAGACCTTGAATGGTGGGGCACCAGGACGTTATGACGACGCAAGGCACCAGCTCATAAAGACTGCTCTCAAGTAACTGGCGGCCTACAGGATTGGTATTGTTTAACCCACAAATGTTATGTACATGTTGTGTACACGTTTTGTTTTCATTCCCCCCTAGTATTTAAGCACACTACCATACCCAGGCGCACTACTGTGCTGAAGAGGGCAGGGTCGCTAGTAGGCCAGCCCCCGAACTCCTCCGCTCCCCACCCCCCTACAATGCCCATGATGGAGGGCGTTTACATATATACCTATCCCAACCTGGCTGAATATTCGCTACCTCCTAAGAGCAGCTTGCCAGCCCGAATATGTATAGGGAACACGGTGGGGGAACGAAGCCCAAAGGGTGGGAAATTGAGAATGGCGCAATGTGTCTACCCACTAGGGCCCGTACCCAACCTTTATCTGTCCAGCAGTTAGCACTGGGTCAGTCTATACAACACTCCTCTCTAACCTAAAGCGGTTACATACTGACCACAAACCCCAACATACGACCTACCCAAAGCCCCACTCCTTCACTGACGTCTGGCGGCAGTACCCGCATAACAATACAAAAAAAAAAAATTAAACACCCCCCCCATCACAGTATCCCCATGGCTGTATGTGCGGAAACGCTACTGGTTTAACATTAATAAGGCTCGGGAGCGAGTCGGCTCCACACGATCCCCCCAATCTAGGATGTCCCCTGGGTGTGCGCTGGACAGCCACCCAGTACATCCACGAATATACTCTCAAAAGAGAGTACTTTGTATATACCTTATTTATACTGTTTATGATTATGTTTGTTCCTTATGTTTTTTCTCACCCCCCTCCCCTCCAAGTTTCTACTCGTCCCATGACCAAGGTAACTTACCATTGAATAGATCCCGGGTGCATGACACTAATGGTCACTACACTGATCCCACCTACAGTGCATATACTTTTTGGAGCAGGTGTAATAGCAGATCTTACTCTCAGATTGCGCGGCCACATACCGCCCTCCTACCCCCTAGAGAATGACACACCACTTCAAATGTCTCTCTCTAAATGTTAATGGCCTGAACAGCCCGTTCAAGAGACATTCGGCCATTAGAGAGATACACGACTCAAAAGCAGCAATAGTCTGCTTACAGGAAACCCACCTATGCACACATCGCCCTCCGACTTTTCAACCAACCGGCTACCCCCAAACTTTCCATGCACTTTCACCACACAAATCCAAAGGTGTATCTATATTGTTCCAACAAGACTGGGTTTTCCAACAGACAGGGATGTATCAGGACAAGTTGGGAAGGCTATTGATACTGGTGGGTACGCTGAATGGCATCGAAGTCACAGTGGCCTCGCTGTATGCCCCAAACGAAGCCCAGACCTCCTTTTTAAAATCCGCACTAAACAAAGTGGCAACCCTTAGACAAGGGCACACTATCATCTGTGGGGACTTTAATTGCACAATGGATCCTAACTTGGACATACAGAGGGCACAAGGAAAGAGACCACTACACCAAGCCATATCACTGAGCCGTAAACTTGCCACACTCCTCCACACACACAATCTTTACGATACATGGCGTAGCTTATACCCTAGCGGGAGGGACTACACTTATTTCTCACCAGTTCACCATACGTACTCACGCATTGACTTATGCTTGGTCGACGCTATAACACTACAAAATGTAGCGGATGTGAAGATAGGGAATAGGACATGGTCAGACCATGCCCCGGTCACCATCACATTCAAAACTCTATACCCTGTTAGAGGAAGAAGCATGTGGAGACTAAACGACTCCCTACTAAACGAGGATGACCTACTTATAAAACTAATTAACACGATTACACTGTTTTACCAAGACCATACCAACGACGAGACCTCCATCCCCACACAATGGCTAGCCCTCAAAGCGGTGCTGAGAGGCCTCTTTATACAAGCAGGAGCAAACCGTAAACGGAAGAGCAATCAAACCAAAGAGCGCCTGCTAGAGGAACTTGCACAGATTGAGGAAAAAAATAAACTTAACCCATCCAACAAACTGATTAAACGAATTAGCAAAATAAACTCGGAGCTACATGCTTTGGCCCTAACCACTATGGAAAGGCAAATGCGTAAACTCAACTTAATCCATTACATGCAAGGCAATAAGGCAGGCAAATTATTGGCACGTCGCCTGAAAACACGTCACCTGCAATCTAAATTACCATACATGACCTCAGCTACTAAACATAAGCTATACAACCCCCAAGACATAGTGGAGGAACTAGCCTCTTATTATGACAAGCTATACAACCTAAATAAAACGACTGACACACACCAGCCATCCAAGGACGAAATCCTAAACTTTCTAAGCAATGTAGACCTACCCCTCCTCACAGACACACAAAAAACATACCTTCAAACACCATTTACGGAGGAAGAAGTGCACAAGACCATTAGCTTATTACCCAAACGTAAGGCACCGGGCCCAGACGGATTTCCGAACTCCCTCTACACGACGCTTAACACGCAACTAACACCACACCTTACCAAGTTGTTTAACCACATCAAAGACACTGGGAATATCCCGTCCGAAATGCTCCTTGCACATGTGATAACACTCCCGAAACCCGGGAAACCCCCAACAGAATGCGCAAATCTAAGACCAATCTCTTTATTAAATGCTGACACCAAACTGTACGCAAAGCTCTTAGCCAACCGCATTAAACCACTGCTCCTAGATATGATCTCACAAGAACAAGCTGGGTTTGTCCCTACAAGACAACCAGGAGATAACACACGCCATTTCCTGAATCTAATCCATTGGGCACATAAAACCCAACAACAGGGCATACTGCTGGCACTCGATGCTGAAAAGGCATTCGATCGTCTAAATTGGTCTTATATGACAGCAGTGTTGACCAAAATGGGATTCCCCCCTCCATTCCAAAAGAGCGTACTGGCCCTGTACTCTAGCCCCTCGGCTAGGGTATATAACACCGGCTTTCTATCCAAGCCCTTCCATATAACCAATGGCACCAGGCAAGGCTGCCCTCTCTCCCCGCTAATATTCATCCTTTGCCTGGAGCCACTGGTTAAACATATCAACTCATTAGATGGGATTCAGGGACTACACACACCAATAGGAACTATGAAAATCGCTCTATTTGCGGATGATATCCTGCTGTTCATCACTGATCCCTCCAGATCCCTCCCCAATCTCCTGGCACTTTTGGACAGTTATGGAAAGGTGTCATACTATAAGAATAATGCAAAAAAATCGCAAGCATTAGCAATTCGCATACCAAACCACACACTACAAACCCTCAAATCTAAATACCCATTCGATTGGCGTAAAACTTCGATCACGTACCTAGGTATTCAACTGCCCGCCACACCTACATTAGTTACCAAAGTGAATCATATCCCGCTTCTGCAGAAACTAGATCTCCAACTTAAACAATGGGACGAGAAAGGAACCTCATGGCTAGGGCGCATCAATACAGTTAAAATGATGATTATACCACACATCTTATACCTCTTCCGTACACTGCCGATAGCAATCCCTAATACAATACTGAAAAGATTCCAATCAACCATAAACGCACATATCTGGAAGAGAAAACCTCCCAAAAATTGATTTGGAGACCCATTTCGGAAGGAGGCCTTAGTGTGCCCAACATTCAGCTCTATTATAAAGCATCAATACTAGCACAGGGCCTCACGATACTGGAGGGCATAGCAACCCCCATCTGGCTGGCATTAGAAAATGCCTGCATGACAAAAGGAACAGTGGTAGACGCCCTGTGGGCGTGCTCGGACAGGCAGCTACAGGTCGCCAATAACCTACCCCCAACGAAACTACTGCTCCATATATGGAGACAGTCGATCGTAAAACTGGATATAGGCAGAGACCTCCTACACGCCGCGCCCTTACAATCACTATCACTCCACACACATGATCTATGCCTCGACATCTGGGTACGAAAGGGAATTCTCAATGTGAGCTCCTTGATTGATGATGCGGGAGTAACACCCTTCCCAACACTACAACAGACATTCACTCTCCCGTCTAAGGAACTATTCACATACCTACGCATTAAAAACATACTACATGCTCACAAACTACATAGAGACAGAAAATTACCACCACCACGATTCCTCCTTAAGTGTCAAGGAAAACTAAAAGGCATTAAAGCATTATCTTTCTGTTACACCTCTCTCATGAATCTAGCGGACAAGGAAATTCCCTTATATATGAGCTCCTGGGAGAAGGATCTCCAAACACAAATCAGCCAAGATACGTGGAGGAAGGCTCTGGGTAGGATAAGGAAAACCACATATAGCCTGGCCCACAGGGAGGCGTTTTGCAAAATACTAATGAGATGGTACATGGTTCCTTCACGCCTAGGACATATCTACCCCAACACGTCCCCCATGTGCTGGAGATGCCAAAACACAGTAGGCACACTACTTCATGTATTCTGGACATGCCCGATAATAAGCATATTCTGGGACGCAATTGAGCAGTTCCTCTCGGAAGAGATGAAAATAATTGCTCCGAAATCCCCAGAATGCTACCTACTTCACATCTTCCCTCATTCACCCAGGGAAGATGAACTACACATACTCACCCACTGCCTACTCGCCGCCAAAACAGCAATAGCACACAGGTGGAAACAACAGCAAAGCCCAAAATTAACAGAAGTCCTAACACGCATCGACACTACATGCAACTTCGAACGAATGGCCAGCCGCCTTCGAAACAAGGAACATATCTACACCAGGCAGTGGCAAAGATGGGCACAGTTTAGGGACCAACCAGGGACCTAGAGATCAAACCCAGTACCACTTTAGGACCTCGGTGAATCTACGCCTCACCGTAGTAACCCATGGTCACCTACACAATCTCACACAACTGTCTACCCATGAGTGCAAAAATCCACT